TCTGTGTCATATGACGCTTACGTAATTCTGGTGATGTTAATTGCACTAAAGCAACAAATAATAATTTTACAGCAATATTAACTGTTCACGCAGAATGCTTTGAGAACCCAAACTAACTCAGTTTGACTTCACATTTCATCCTGAACATTACGCACTTGCTTTCCACGCTTTGGCCTGGCCGCACTGCAGTCTGTCTGCTCTTACCTTCTTATTGCAAATTTATCTAAAATGTAAAATTTCTTGGAATAGTTACAACTAATGTGCCAACCTGATTGTCGCCGCAACATGTTTGCTAAAATAAAAAGATTTAAATCTGCATTCGCCTCCAATTTCTTAGTCATTATGAATCAACACTTCTACGCCATCCAAATTCCTACTCCTGAATTTTATTAGACACATATCTATATATATATATATGTATATATATATATTTGAATAAAACAAAGTAATTATTAAGTATAATTTTGTGATTATGTAACTTGAGATCCCCAATAGATGGCAATAGTGTTTATTTGTAATAAGAAAATGTGATGTCATAATTCTGTATATGAAGTAGTTCGTCTTTGGGGTTCGTCAATAAACGCTGCGTAGAATAACATTCTCTGTTTATTACTTTAAATTCAATTCAGTCTGATTTATAGAGACATACATATATTTTGTTTACACATTTCAAATTATTGCCATCAAATATTAGAACCCTGTATTATATTTAAAGAAATTAAGTAAAGAAGAATTTGCATAAATGTATGTATGTTTCTCGCATTGTGATAAAACAACGGTACCTAGAGCCCTCAAATTTTGAATAACGTACGTCTCCACCCGAATATGCGCATTTGAAAGCCCAAATTTGGAATTTGTTTTATTATTTATTTCATATTTTGTACAGCACATGAATTTTTGATTAAGAAACTTAACGATTTCAAAGCAAGCAATGTGTATCGGAAATTCTAGGGCTATGCTCATTTTAAATTATTTTGTGATAATTCTGTTGAATTGAAATTTATGGTGTAAGTGCGAAGAACGTAATATTTAATAAATTAAAGTTAACACACAAAACGTTAAGTAATCGCTCCTTTGGGCTTAATATAAAACCTGAAACCTTTTTTTACAGTTCTATTCTCTTGAAAATGTAAAATCATGATATTCACAACGATCTGACCAAGAATGATACTCTGTAAAAATTAATAATTTGTAACCAGACTTATTGTATATGTAAAAAAATCAATGCGTCAAATAATATTGTATGTAAGCTACTATTGCACATTCATTAACGTCAATGGATTGCATACAAAAGGATGCATTGAAAAGATAAAACCTGCAGCCGAATTAACTATACATGTGAAGGAAAGTAGACTGGAAAATGTCTAAATATCAAATAATACTGTATAGCAAACAATGTAGAATAAGTCGCAGACAAGTGACACGGTTGCTTATTTGGGAAAAAGGGCAGTGCAAGCACAAATAAAAGCAAAGAATTCAATAGTGATGCGTTGTTAAGAATAAAAATTTTAATTGAAAGAAATCTACTTCGAAATTTGAATTAAAAACAAAGTCACTTTCCACAGCCGAAGCGAAGCCACCGAGCGAATGTAGAAGTCTCGTACCCAGCAAATGACCATCACTTATTTCATTGAAACTCACAAATTTTAACTAATAAGTGGGCTTATTTTTACAGTTGTTATGGTTAGTGCGTTGAGGCGCTACCTGAGTGATTCATGATGAAGTTTGTGGTTATTCCACTCAATTCTACCTACCTACCTACCTACCTCCACCATGTAAACATTAATGAAAACAATATGTAAATACTGATTTGACGAATCATGTAAATATTCATTTTATGAAACCTTAATCTGTTTGCGTAAGAGATGTAGATGACGCAGCTTTTGATGATATTGCATCAGACAGTTCGAGAAAACCCCGCTCCTAAATTTCTTTGATGAAGGGTAGTAGAATATTACTAATTACTGTTAGTTGTTGTTGCATTATTCGTTTTAAATTTTAACATTTTTAGGTAACGTATGAAAGCATGTAATCTTGTAATGCATTCATATAACAACACGTATTTAAAAACGACAGATAAAATTCGATAAGCGATAAATGATAACCAGTCAGCTTGCGAAAACATCAATCTCAATTTCAGTGTTATTTCCTGAAATAGTTACGTCAAAAAAATGCTATTTAAAGCATTTAAACCTTTAGAGTACTTAATACAGGAAGGGGGGAATGTTCTAAAGTAGATAAGTCGCAAGCTTTCTTTCATACTTAGTTCTTACGCTTCGTTTTTCACACACATTATACAAATAAAATATCAGGTGCAAATAATAAAAATTAAAATCGAGGAATGTCAGGTAGGCCGATGCAAACTTATCGACATCGCGTCTAAAAAATGCAATAAATTCCTTTTGAAAATTAGTATTGATAGTATTGAATGAATCACTTTGAAAATTCAGTTAGAGAAATCGTATGCGCTCTCGTTTTGGCAATTTACTGAATGATGTAATGCGTTATTTTATTCTGAAATATTTCTATACCGTTCTGAGACAAATTGATTAAAAACGTCTCAAGCACAAGGAAATAAAGCAAGAATCATAAAGATGCTCATTCACTTCCTTTGTATTATATACTGAAACATCATATAAAACAATTGAGCATAAATCGAGAATTCATAGATGATTATTCTGAAGTTCGAACTTTGAAGGCATTGACATCAGAAAAATAGTTTGTATCCAGAAGGAAGTATTGAAGGATAGAAGATTAAAATAAAGGAGTTAGCTGCAGAATTGGTTTTATCTAAGCTATTATTTTGTGCGTTCTGCATGAACACAAATTCTGTAAGATGGATGCATCGACTTCTTTCAATAATTTACAAAATACAACCTATCAATGCAATTAAAAACGAGAATGTGGTTTTTCAAGATCTTGGCCATGCTGATAAAGCCCAGATTCAGCTTCAAGTAATTAGTATTTTTTCTCGCGTTCTTATCTCTGTGGAAGCAGATTTAATAGTGATGGTAGCGTGAAAAGACGAGTTATGAAACATTCCCTCGAAACCAAATTTCATTAGACTACGTTTACAGGGGATAGAGTTGCTCATTAAACGAAGTGCAAAGTGTGTCCACGCACAAGGAGATCATAATGGAACATAAACAGCGAAAATTTTCCCTATTCCTTTTAGAAGACTATCAGGTAGGAAAGGGTATCATCTACACACATTTTATCGATGCAAAACATAAGTGTATTATTACGAATTTGCTGATCGTTTTTCGGCTTTTGTTAATTGCACGTAATAATATTTTCCTTTAAAAGCAATATGTAAATCGGACAGATATTTAAAATAATAGTAAATGCTGATTATCAGAAGAATGTTGTATGTCTGTTTGTACATTAATGGTTTTAAGATTTACATATAACTTGCGTAAAAATAATAACCACACCTAATCGTCCCTTAAGCATAATTGTTAGTTGTTACTAACAATTATGCTTAAGCAGCGAGGAGTTTAAGCTCAGAGTGGGGAGCGGGGAGTGTTTAAGTTTGGGATAAAGCTATTATATTTTCGAGAATATGTAGTATTTCTATAAGTAAATAATGAATCAGGAAAGTTATTTGGTCTGAAAACATAATTCCGAATTAAACTAGGAATATTTAATACTGAAAAGATTCTTCCTAGTAGCTAGTGACACCAAAATTTCAATTTCCCATGAGACTTTGTTATTAATGCTAGTGAAGGCAGTATCAATTTAAGTGTTGAGATGCAACGTCTTTATGCTAAAGCCATATGCTGCGAATGTTAAATTATGAAAGTTAAATGAGAAAGAGATCAAAGGTTGGGATAAAACTTTAAGGGCCAAAAAATGAATTAGCTATGAATAGCTATTTAAAAATATAGAGCCATGAAATTAAAAGCAGACTGAGATACTTCTATATGATAGTTATCTATCTCCTATGGGGAAAGAATCTGGTTTCTATCGTGATTGAGATTAAAGATGACGCGCACAACAATCAAATTCTAATTATCTACTTAAATGCAGTCTGCAAAGTATAAAGTAATTTATTTAGAATTTTAGTCTTGAAATGATATTTTGAATTAATTGCATAATTCCTTGTCCTTTACATATATTCAATTTGTTTAGATAAATAATTAGATTTGTTTATTATGCAATAATAGTAAAATTTCCCTCCTTTATTACTTTAAATGCAGGCGATATTTAATAACCAAATATACCACTGAAAATATTCAGACAGCATGGCTTCGACATAAATATGTGTATTATTTGGGAAACAAACGTATGTTCCTAGCTAAGTTAGAGTTACTTGAAAGCTAGAATACTAAAGAACTGTGTAGCAACTATTCGCTGAGTTCTTGTAAGTAACAAATCCAAAGAAAGGTTAAATTAACCTTTATTCCAACTCAAAATAAATGAACAGATGGCCCCTTCTCGGGCGTACAATAAGCCCTCACTTGTGCTTTAAATCAAAATAGAAAATATAAAACTAATCTAATAATAACTAAAATTAATCAGCCGAAGTTGCACAGAAACAACTAACGGAGTTGGCCCTTATTTGAAGATGACCGGCGTATACAAGCAGGCACGTAGCAGTACGGCCATAGAACAGTAAGCTTAGACAAGCAACAACAACGTGGTCTAAAAAGCAGAACAGGAGCTCCTACTGAAGTGACCCAGACTTAAGCATAAATACTCGTTTCTACCTCATTTGCATAAATCGTAATCACGAAAACTTATTCGGGTACGGAAACGTAGGTAGAAATTTAAAATGTATAGGAAAGGCTTGTTCCAAAATAAAAATAACTGTTAAAAAAATTTAAAGTAAAACCCGCAGGTATAATACTTTACTTTATTCGAAAATATACGGATATTTAAAACCATGCTGTCTGGGAATGAGCTACTTAATATATATCAGGTAATTTAATGTTGATATCATTACTAGTGCCTCGATTTGTCTTGTTTATACTCTCATTTAAGTTTTCCCTTGTTTTTAGGCATTCCATTCCTTGTTACGGGAAATACCTTCTTAATAGTATACATGTATGGCGATTACGTGAAGAGGTAAGTACATTAATGTAAAGTTAGAATGATAAATGTATTGACAGGAAGTGTGTTAACCTCAGCTACATTTTAGATTCTGATACAGGATTTCAGTCAGATTTTAATCGTTATTTATTTAATTTATTTTTTCTAAATTAAGTTTATCTTATTCTTAAATCAAGATCCTGGATGCACTTTAACATTCTATCCATTATAATCTTTTAATCGAATAACAACATTAAAAATTATTTTTTTAAATGGGGAATATTTTCCATTTAAAAACATTTATATCTTTACAGATCGTGGTGGCTGCAATTCCAACATACTGACTTTTACATTTTTGTATTCGCTTTGCTGCTTCTACTGATAGTAAGTATAGAAATGAAACTACATATTTTTCTAGAATTAACGCTAAAGTTTCAGACGGAGTTTGATCTTTCGTTTAAACTAGAGCATTTGATTAGAAATTTGCTGTATATAAAGACAACCTAGTTCTATTTTCTCAAGAATGTTAATGAGAAAAATATAGCTTAGAATAAAATTTCTGTTTAGTGAGTCCAGTCTCTAAATATCCACTTTCATATAACATTCTTATAATAATATTAATCATTTTCATAATAAAATGCCTTCTTATATACATAGTCGCGGTCATTTAAGCACATGCATTTGGAGCGCATTTTGTATAACAAAGTATATTGAAAATAATTGCTATCACAATATTTACTATCAGGAGAAATTTTGAAATTTAACAGAGTAATCAGTATTCAAACTGTGAGAAGAGAAAGTAGATCTTCTGATAAGCTTCCTTTACTTTCAAAGGTATAAAATAACAAATATTTTGTGGTTTTAAACCTCAAAAAGGCGCATTAAATATATCTAATTTAGTAGGTATATCACTGTGTTTACTATAAATTTTTATTTCATTTTAACAAAACTTTGTAAGGGCTTTTTTTCTAATATTTGACAGGAGTTCTAGAAAACATAAAATGGTGGTGTTATTTTTATGAGTAGGGCATAGCATTAATCATTCAGTATTCAATAACGCTGCTACGAAGTTACAAATATGTAACTGTATTGTACTGATTATGTGTTGTGTTTCAATTAACATATTAATTTGTCTATTTACGTCTTCTCCTGTTTATGCAAAGTGCTTTGGAATGGCCTACTATACACAATACCATGCACTGTTTAAAGACATGAGGACAGAACAGAAACTACTTCTCCATTCGTACTAGTCGAATAATTAAATGATAATGAAAAAGTGGTGGTCGTGTAGCTAGTTTCAAGCCCACTTTATATAAGGTTTTGGAAGTAACAATAAGGAAGAAAGAGAGTAATATTAGCATAGTGTTTACTTTATATTAGTTAGTAAGTAGTAAGTAGTTTTCTCTTCAGGTTTAGAATCATGTTAGCTTGATTAATCTGCATTAAATACTAGGTTTTTATAACACTGAGAAACAAACTTTCACTTTTTTGTCACATGAATCAAAATATTCGAACTTGATATTATTTCTGTCACTGAATTCAAATACATGACAAGAATTGTTCTGTCACTCAAGAACGTTCTGTAGTCAGTAGTTATAATTTACTTAAATATACACAAACTTATTATAGAAGGAAATACTCTAAAACGGAAGAATACTCAACGTTCTACTGTACTTGATCTGATAACAATTTCTCTTAAGAACCTAGCAGAAGTCAATGACCACACTGGAACAGGAATGGCTGAAGTATCGCATCTCTTTTCAGGAAACTTCCTGATGACAACACTCACAAACCTCACCACCAGCAGCTGAGCGGTAAAAGCTGCTGAACACTGGTAGTTCGTTCCGAGGTTCGAGTCCTGCATGGGCGGTTTCGTGGTTTTTCCCATATGTAACGTTGGCCGGTTTCCGTTAAGAAGAGCTCCACGGGACATCTCTCCCTCTCCATATAGTGCCTATGTCGAAGCACGTAATAAGTAAAAACACTCACAAACCTATCACTCACTGTCACAAGATAGCCAGTGTAGAAATCTAAGTAGGAAAACACAGAAATGAAAACTTACAAATGTATAGTAGAAAGTGCTTCATAATATGACTTTAAGCACTCATCACTGCATTTTATTATTTCTCTGCCTTGCTTTTCTTGGGAAGTATTTTACAAACATTATTAAAAACATAGTATGCAGTATTATCAACTGCATTTGATTGTTAAAGTAATTTCTGATCCAGAAATCCTTTTTTAGATCGAGGTTAAATAAAAAATCATCTTAGATTTAACAGTCGTCCGTAGTAAGAAATATTGCTCTCCTATGTGAATGTTAGCTCTTTGCGTATCACTACTTTAGCAAAGTAATTCATATATTCCAGCTTAATATATATCTTGAGAAGATGCAGTTATTCAGAATCTACAAATGTTGCATTGATAATACGAAACATTCCTGAGATTAGTCTAATAGATTAATATTTTCCATCCTATACTTTTCCTCTTTTCGTTAATTTATTCTCAAAAGAATAGGAGCATTTTGTGTGGCTCCAATTAAATCTAAACTATATAAAGATTATTTTTATATCATTGCAAATACTGAACTTAGATTACTCAATATTTTGTGGGAGATGTTTCGAAATTTTCTTGGTAAAAGGAATTTGTTTCCGTTGAATTACATCTTATTTGCAGTTACATTTACCTGAAAATGAATGGAAATGACAAAAGCTGGAACAAAAGCAAAATAATGGCGTTCATAAATAAAAATGAAATCATTTTTCTCGAGTCAAACTTCAATAAACCTACTTATGCTTAAAAAGCATTTACTTACTATCAAGGGATGTCACTCAGAAATTTCGGGTAATAATACATTGGTCATCAAATTAAACGATAATCACAGAAACAAAATGTAACTAATATTTAATAAACAATTATTAAGTTTGTACAAAAGCATTAGTTTACATAATTTACAATGTATGGCAATTGATTACTTGCAAAATATTCAAATTAAAACAAAATTTATGGAAACTAGAAAATGATGGAAATATTAAGTCACCTCTTTATTAAAACATTTCCTTTAATATGATATATGGTCAACTGGGACAGATATACATACCTCACATCTTGATTTCATAGACTTTATCAGAGTGTTGATAAAGTCTTGTGGAGTTGCACGCCAACCTTCTAAAAGTGCAATTTTGAGTTCCTGGAAGGCCCGGGCAGGAATTTGGAGCATTAAATGCGGCGCCATAAGGCATACCGCATATGCTCAATCAAGTTCAAGTTGAGTGAGGTGGTCAATTCATTCGAGTGATATCTCCTGTTTGCGAGTATTCTGAGACCTCATATGCTGTATGAAGCCAAGCCATTAGCAAAATTTCTGGGTCAGTAGCACCCCCTAAACACGTATCTTGTCTAATACTTCGTCCACATATCTCCGACTAGTTACAGAACGTCCGTAAAAGATATGGTGGTCGATGCGGCCGTTTGTCATGATTCCTCCCCAAGTCATTGAACCGCGATTTCGGAAACGGGATATATATCATGGACAAGGGAAGGCAAGTTGCGTGTTTCTTCCTTTTTTCCAGATCAAGACGCGTCTAGACTATATTACGTATACGCGTGTTCAGACTATATCTAGACACTTCGGTAAACAATACTCGGGTCTAGTCGTCTTGGCTTCATTGAACATGACGACGGCACCAGTTTAAGGGCCTCTCTGGAAACAGTAGTGAATAGGGCACAAACCACTGTTTTTTCTAGCATGCAGTCCAACCTCATTAAACCTTCGTGCAGAAGTAAATAGGCTAATTCGAGTTCCTATGGCAGCCTGAAGGTCTAAACGAGATCTCTCTTAGTCGCTTTGAGGTTTCTTTGAACTGATAACTGCAGAAATATGTCTTCTGATGCAGTTTTTGCTCTTGTTGTCTTTGACCAGACTATCTATCAATTGATTTAGTGGTTAAAATCTGCTCCAAATTCGTGATATGACACTTTGAGGGATATTCAAATCTTGAACGACCTCCATTTGTGTTTGACCTCCCGCTATTCTACCAATTATTCGCAGCTTTTGATCTTCACTTAAATGATGCCTTTGAGCCATAATTCTAAATATTGATCTCTCTCAGAAACCCATTCACTTAAAACAACACAACAGACCGGACTTGCAACATGCGTCTATTGCGCACCACATTGTCAATCACCGAATTTGTATATTTCCGACCCTAACGTATGCGCGGAAGTGCAACTTTGTGTTCAGTTGTAGTATTTAATTAACATAAATAATTACAGTATTGGGCATTGGCTGCAACCTTAACTTAGTGAGTATATTTTTTCTCATCATCATTTAATTTTGATTACCAGAATAAAAACTGGAATGATTGCAGTGCTCATCTGAAACTAGAATATTTCAAACAGCTACGTATCAAGCAACTTTACACATAGTCCTACAAAAGCTTTATTGACCAGCTGTGTTAACTTTCAGGAATACCTTTATATTGTGTATTCTCTTCGCCATCACTCTTGGTCGCTACGAAGTGGCTAAACAAATGTTTTAATTAATTAGCTCTGACAGTTATGTTCGTGTCAGCTCATGTATTAGAAATCGTATGGCTTGCGATAATTCCTTGCATTCCCCTCCACTTAATGAACGATTGGGGAGAAGGACAATACCCAGTCAATCAAATCCACGCTACGAATTTCCATGTACCATATTTTAATTCGGGTACACACTGCGGGAATATTAGGTTTATCGGAGTCTAAAATATTTAAAAATGTATACGTCTTCGCAGGGACTCAAACATGGATCTTCTAACTGCTAGTTGAGCGTTTCAGTCCCTTACACCACGTGAACGCACAAGGGAGGGATTTACTTAGAGCCTAGTGTTTATGATCTTAAATCATTTTTGGACTTCTAGTTGCCATGCGATTAAGACAATTGAACACTGGTATCGACCCAGGTTCAAACACGAGTGAACGCGTTTGGTTGCACGGCGCTGCTTTTCATGATTTTCTCCCATGTAACGTGAATACTAGCTGATTTTCTATAAAAAGTTCTTTAACGAAAGCATTCGTCCACTTCGACAGATAATACTATGCTACTCATATTTAAATAAACTAACATAAACTAATCTAAAATATTTTTTTGAAAAATTATTTGGAGAAAAATATTCCCAACTGCACCTTTTGAAATTTAAATATTGTAAAATATTCTTTAAAACAAAATGAACAAAAACAACAACTGTTTAAGCAAAATGGGAATTATAAAAAAGTTCTCTGAGACTTGGGTCAGACATAGTTATTGAATATCGCATAAAAAGAAATGTGTATAACCAAGATTCCATTCTGAAATCATGGAATAAAGAAAAAATTGCTAAAGAGTTAAAATATGCACAGAGTAAACA